GTTGATATGTAATGGTTAGTATGCTGCAAGATTGAAAAATCTTTAGTGGAATTTATTTATATACTGGAAAGCCTGTCATTTCTGACTTAACATCCTAATCAAGACATCCTTTAGCCTGTACCTTTCTCAACTCCGCAGATAACCAGTGTTCTAATTTTTATCACTATAGATTAATTCTATGTATTCTTGAGTCATGCAGTATGTAGTCTTGTGTCTGGCTTCTTTTTTCTAAACAATTTTTGAGATTCACCCATATCGAATGTATCAATACTTGGTTTCTTGGTATTGCTAAGTAGTATTCATCCATTGGGCATTTAGTTTTTTTCTAATTTTTAAACAGACTTGTACAAATTGTTTTCTGGACATATGTGTATTTTCATTCATCTCATGTAAATGAATACCTAGGAGTGGAAAATAGGTTGGGTGTATATTTAACTTCATAACATCGTGAACAGTTTTACAAAGAGGTTTACGATTTCACACTCCCACCAGCAATATACGCAAGTTCCAGTTTCTCCACATTCTCCCTAACATTTGGTGCTTTCAGTGTTTTTAATTTTAGTCATTCTGGTGGGTGTAAATGATATCATGGGTTTCATTTGCATTTTCTTAATGACTGGTGATTTTTAGCATATTTTCATGTATGTATTTACAATTTGTATATCATTTTGAAGTGTCCATTTAAGCCTTTTCTCCTATTTTTATTGAGTTCTTTGTATTTTTGTTATTGATATGCATGAGTTCTTTATATATTTGATTCAAGTCCTTTGTCAGATATATGTGTGTGTGTATACATATATATGGATAGTGAACACTTTCTTCTGGTTTGTGGTTTACTTTTTAATTTTGTTTAATGGTTTTAATTTATGATCCATAGAATATTAATTTTTCTGGGTTCTGTAAATTTGGGGGTCAGAAGGTTCAGATTGATTTTATCTTCATGTTTATCCAGGTCCTTGTTGAAAATAATTTTATTTTTTCATTGACTAGTCTTGGTGCATTTGTAAATTGGCTGTATATTTGGAGAAGTATTTTGGGACTCTCTTTTGCTGTAGCTTGGTAGTACATCTTTCTCATAAGGTAGTGCAAATCATCCAAATTTGTTCTTCTGTTTCAATGTTGTTTTGGGTATTCTAAGTCCTTGGGTTTTCCTTATACATTTTAAAACTTAAAAAAAATATAACTAAATTTTGAACTAATTTAAATGCATCAAGCTGCAAATTAGTGCCATTTCCATGGATCTGTTCTCCAGCTAGGTTCCCTAATGATACTGTCTTAAATAATCATAGTACCTGGCTGCAGTGAGTGTGATAGTGCCTTTAGAGGGGCACCCATTGACATTGGGGGAGAAACATCTTGCTTTTTTTTAATGTATAAAGCACTGTTGTACATACAGTTTGTAAACAGATATACTGTGTATCTGTGATAGTAACATTTCATAGGCGGGCATTAGGAAATAATGTCCAAGAAGGCTCCTTTAGGGGAAAAAAGGAGAAAAGGTTGGGATACAGCTATAATTAACTGTAACTAAGGAAACCAGAATTGATGTTAGTATAATACTGTCTACCCAGGTACATGTCTTAGCCGAATTTCCCCAGTTTTTTACATGTACTGTTGTGTATGTGTAGTTATATGGCATTTTATTACATGTGAAGATTCAGATAACCATGATAACAGCTATTTAGCACACAGAACTACTATATCAGCATCAAAAAACCTCATTATCCCTTAATACGCCACACTGGTTCCTCAGCTCTAACTAGTGGTGACCAGTGATTTGGTTTCCATCACTAGTTTGGTCTCTTTTAAGAATCTCATGTAAGTGGACTCATTGAATAACTAATGACCCTTTGAGATTATCTTGTTTTCATTTAGTATAATGCCCTGGAGTCCATCCCAGTTGCTGCTGTTATATATCAATAGTTTATCCCGGTTTATTGCTGAGTAGTATTTTATTTTCTGGATGAACCATTGTTAATCCATTCAGCAGGTGAGGGACTTTAGGATTAATTTCTTATTTTGGCTGATACTGATAAACCTGCAATGAACATTTGTGTACTGGTTTTTGTGTGAACTTAAGTTTTTATTCCTCTAGGGTAAGTCCTAAGGAGTATGTTTGCTGGGTCATATGGTAAGTCTAAGTCATAGTAAATTCTTTCATGTTTATTAAGATTTGTTTCATAGCCCAGCCTATGGTTTCTCGTGGTAAATATTAAGCTGTTATTGAGCAGAGTATTTATAAATGTTAGGTCAAGTTTATTGATGATGTTGTTCAAGTACTTTACAGTTTCAATATTTAAATTTAAATATCTTTTTCTATTCTCTATATCACATTTGTACATCATGGATTCATTTTTATTTTATCAGAATATGTTGTCTGTTACTTCTTCTAGCCGTTTTTTAAAAATATTTTATCTATTTATTTTTAGAGAGAGGGGAAGGGAGGGTGAAAGAGAGGGAGAAAAACATCAGTGTGTGAAAGATAATCTGTCAGTTGCCTCTTACACGTCCCCAACTGGGGACCTGACTTGCAACCCAGGCTTGTGCCCTGACTGGGAATTGAACCAGCGGTCCCTTGACTTGCGGTCTGGCACTCAATCCACTGAGCCATACCAGCCAGGGCCTTCTGGTGGATTTTATTTTACAAAATTCACAACATTATCATCCATTTTCCTTGCTCTTCTGTAATGTGTTTTTACCACAAGGAACGGAGTCTTAATTCCCCTCCACTTGGGTATAGGCTGTCCTTAGTGATTTGAAGTCATTACAGTGTAGCTTGAATGGTGATGCATGGCTTCATAACAGCGTCCGAAAAGGCCTTCCCTGCTTCCGCTCCATTATCTTGGAAGGCTTGTTCTCCAGCCTTTCTTTTTCAGATTGCCCCTTCTCATAACCTACCAGCTGTGCTGTGAGAAGTCAAACCAAATGAAGTGGCCAGGCATAGGTGCTCTGGTTTACAGTCCACATTGAGCCGGTCCTTTGGCCACTCCAGTCCAGGCGTCAGATATGTAAGTGAAGAAAGAAGTCATCTTGGAATTAAATCCTCCAGCTCCAGCTTTTGCAGCTGTTGAAATCAACAGCTGTCATTCGACTCTGCTCAGATGAGGCCTGAGACATGGTGAGGCAGAGGGGTCAATTCTGCTCTGCCTTCCTGAATTCCTGACCTGTAGGGTCCCTATACAATGCTTATTTTACATCACTGAGTGTGATGAGTGGCTTGTCACACAGCAGGAGGGATAAATTCTTTTTCATTAGAGTTTGAAAGAGGTAAACTTGACAGACCTTACTGATCTGAAAATATCTTTAACTTTACTCTTAATTGGCTCAGGAATTTTTGGATATAAAGTAAGTCTCAGAACTTGAAAGTTATTTCTCCGCCCTCTTGCAGCATCCACATCTTGTCAGTGAAACATGTAATTTGATTTTCATTCTTCTGCATGGGTTATGTTTTTTCCCTTTGGAAGCTTTCAGGATTTTGGACCTTCAGACATTTCATCTAAGTGCATGTAGATAATCTATGGCCCATTTCTGTCCCCAAACTCATGTCTTTTATTTGCTTCAATATGTTTATTGTACAAATTTTAAAGTACTATTTTCTGTATTCTTTAAACTCTTTTAGGAGTTGGTTACTTCTTGATTAATTACAGTTAGTTTCTCCCTTTAACTGTGTTGTGCTTCATCAAATTAAGGTGATGTCTGGTTATTTTGTTGTTGGCTTTTGTTTGCTTTTTGAGATGACTTGTTATTCTCTCTGCAAATACTGTATCAGTCCGTAGCTACCTGCATCCAGAGGTTGTTGGGAACCACATAGTACTAGGAAAAGTTTAGAGGTTCCTAGCCTTCCTATGTGTTACTAGATGCTGGGAAACTTCCTGATCTACTTTTGGGATAATTACCCGTTACTTTCTTTACCCATGGTCTAAAGGCAGCAGAAGTGATTCACCTGGCTCCTTCCTACTCACGTATTTCAACCAATAGTGTTTTAGTTTCTTCAAGGGAAATCTTTTGCTCCCCATTTTTGCTGTTTCAGAGCATGGAGCAACACTCATTTTTTTAAAATCCTCTCCTAAGGATATGTTTATTGGTTTTTAGGGAGCAAGGAAGTGGGGGTAGAGAGAGAGAGAGAGAAACATCAATGTGAGAGAGAAGCATCAATTGGTTGTCTCTTGTACTACGTGCCCTGACCGGATATCGAGCCCACAACCTTTTGGTGTATGGGAGGACATTCCAACCAACTGAGCAACCTGGCCAGGGCAACACCCACTTTTGATGTCAGTTTTTCTCTGGGGGGAAAAGTCTGTGGTAAAATGACTGCCTCCTGGAATCTGATCTCATCTGCCTTTTGTCTTTTAGAGATTCTTCAGTTTGGGGCCCTGAAGACACATACCCTCTGCCTCTCAGGACTGTAGGAATTTAAGGAGCAGGTGGGACCCTGGAGCAGGTGCTCAGTCTGCCACTTTAGTCTAATTGTGGTAGTTGTGTTTAAAATGCACAGAGATCTCATGGGCTTTGTTTTTATACGCACACACAGTTCCACTTTTTCTTCTGCCAGTTCTGGCCTTCTTAGGCTACTCATATTACTAAATAAATTATTCGTGTGTCTCTTAATTTTGGGTCTCATTATCAATAAAAATCACCTCTCTTTGAATATCAGTAAAACTCTTCTGGTGGGTTATATTAATAAGGAAAAATTATAATATTTAGTCTGTGAGTTAATTTTGACAAGATTACATGGAATTGTTATAAAAATACAGCAATATAGTCTGCAGATATTTTTAGATGTTGCTTATGTCTGTGACATTTTTTTCTGTTGTATATAAAAATAATTTGGAATGATTTCAGTGACTAAAGTAATTACAGTTTTTGAGGTTATAAAACAGTCAGTTTTTAATATATTTGCACACGCTTTAATTTAAGTAAACCAGAGTGCTTATTTTTCTCCTAAACAGGTGATGTACTTGTGACTTTAGTATATTAAAGAAAGCTCTTTTTTTTTTCAGAGCAGCATCTCAGACATGTCGAAAAAGATGTTTTGATCCCTAAAATAATGAGGGAAAAAGCCCGAGAGAGATGTTCTGAACAAGTTCAAGGTAAGATTCAAATATTCATATAAAGATCAAATACATTTTTTATAATATGATCTGAATTTAATCCTTAGAGTCAAGTAGTCAATGAATTAATATGTATGAATTGCTTCTCACCCTTTCCCTGAGATACCAGGGTTTCAGCTTTCAGAACTTCCAGGCGGTATTCAATTCATTTACAATTTAAAAATATTCTCTCAAATTATTAGTAAAAATCACTCCCCCCAAATATAAAGTTACATGTAGAGAAAAACTTAGTATGAGTGTTTTGGAGAAAGAAGTTACTATGGTGGTTTTGATAGAGAAAGAAGAAACATAAAATGTAACATGTAACTGGTTTTCATCTATCAACATATTTATATAGGTACAGTATATATTCTAAGATGATTTTCTTTGGTGTCATTGTGTATTACTGAATCGTTGATGGAATCCCAATAGTACTTACAAAGAGTCTGTTGTTGTTGTTTAATGTTTGCAAGTGGAAGCTGTTTTAAATGTAAGCACTGACACATAGGCATGTTGTTTTTTGGAGAATGTTTTAAAATGTGTTTCATAGAATACTGCTGTACTCTGTAAATCTAGAGTTGTTTTTTGATTAATATGTAAAGTGAAAAGGTAAGCAAAGCAGTGGAAGGTACAATATGAGGCTATAATGGTGGGTGATTAGAAAAACAGGTGGGAATATTACTATAGAAATGTCTTTTAAAAATAGGCTACCTCTGCCCCTGACCAGTGTGGACCAGTTGGTTGAGTGTAATCCCACAAAGTGCAAAGTTGCAGGTTTGCTTCCCCATTGGGGCACGTTCCTGGGTTGTAGGTTTGGTCTTTCTGGGCTCTTGTGAGAGGCAACATATTCGTGTTTCTCTTATAGATGCCTCTCACCTTCTCTTTCTCCCTTCCCCTCTCCCTAAAAATAAAGAAATAAAATCTGGGGAAAAAAGCTACCTCTTAGAATGGATATCCAAAAAAAAAAAATAGTTGTAAAATTTCACTGATGTAGGCCGTTTTCCTGGCTCCCTTTCCCGACTTTCCCCTGTGGTCTTCATTGAGGGACCACAGTAACTTTTAGCACAGGTGATGGCCGCACCTTCCCTGCAAGTTTCTCTGCAGGGGAGCCAGGCTGTGTCTGTCAACTGCAGTTTTGTGACTTTGGACGCTAGGAACATTTCCATCCCTTGGATAGTATCTTCTTAGAGAATGGCCTTGCTATTAATAAATGGAGGCAGTAAAAAATGAAAAATATTTCCTCAGAAGTTAACATTATATGATGGTCATTCGTGTTTCTTAAATGATTTACTAGGACATACCAGTTTTAAATCCATTTATAAATTTATAAATTAGATTGAAATTAAATCCATCCATAAATGTATTAATAAATTACTAATAATTTATTAGTATCATTCTGTGGTATTACTCTTGCTTCCATTATGAATTAGTTGTGTATTCAGAGTACTTCCTTTCACCCCCACCCCCTTAGGTGTCAGGAGAAATGAACCCATTGGCACCCGCGGGCAGGGTTCAGGGCACATCTGGCACTGGCAGGTGTCGTGCTGATAGTCTCAAGAGATAATCCTCCACTTGCCTCATAGAACTTTAAAAAATATATATATCCTGATTCGAGTGGGGGAGAATAGCACTTAAAAATCAATAATAAGGTTATAGGGTTAGGGTCACCTTTTCACTACTGGAAAATTTACTTTAATAAGTAAATAGCTTAAAGTTATAAATAAATATGAGTTGTATTTATGCAGTTTTCTAACACATTACTCTGATACCTGGAATGAAAGAAAGCTTCTTACCTCTATGATATGGATGAAAATGCAGAACTATTGTACAGCTTTGGGTTTCAGAACTGTTCTTACTCTTAGGTAATGAAACTTTGTTTTTGATTTTTGAAATGAAAGAAATATGGTATAAATTTAAAATTTCATTTGTGTTCCACAACTACTATATTGTAATGGTACAGGAGAAAATGTTTAATTTTTGCTTTCGTATCAGAAGTTGCTTAGGCTGTTGACAGGGTTATGTTTCTGTTTAGTGAATATACTTAAAATCTTCTGGAGACTAAAAGCATCTTAAAATTAGGGTTATTTTAATTTATTTGTAAGTTTTAGAACATATTATGACAATTGATTTTTGAACATTTGAATTTTTATAGATAATCGTATATTGATTTTTTAGGCCATCTGGTCCAAAACCGTGTTTTAGAATCTAAAATTGATTATTTTATAAGTGGAATAACCTTTGATGTTCTCCCTGTTTAACCGTGTGAATTGGGAAAGAACATACACTGGTGTCACTCAAGTGGCGGGACAACAGCTACGTTTACACTGAACAATAAAATGTAAACTAGAATCAGGATAACTTCCACTGTAGTTTATTTACTATCTATCACCTTTGCTTTATTAAATAATTATAGGGTCTTATGTAAAAGCATTACACTTTGTATAGTTCTTGGGTAAAGATACAGGAATTTTAATAAGTGATCTGACTTTCTGCTAAATACCTGAAACATGAGTATGTAGGAAAGGTTTTCTGGTTGATTTTTTTCATGTCATTTCAACCCAGTTGATCATAAGGATTGGGTCAGACTGCCAGCAACTTAGGTTTGTGAAGGGAATGGAACAGCTTTTCCAGGGACAAAGAGAAATGAAATCACTTTCAGTGAAAGCAAGATGCCTCATTATAGTCACCAACAGCAGTTATTGACAGCTACACTTCCTATTAACAAGGAGCATTTAACTAAGAGTTTGGCTGTTGGATCTTTGGACTTGATCTAATTTGCTAGCATTAATTAGTTTCTTTTGAGCACAGACACTTGGTGCTCACAGCTATAGATTTGGAGGGCTAATTAGGATAGAAAATTGAACAGAATGGGGTAAGGCATTAACCTTCAACCATTACCAGCTGGGACACTGATAAAGACCACAGAGTCCAAATGCTCCCTATTGATGTGAAGAGTACCCTAATGAATATCAATTTCAGCCAGGTTGCTATATTCTTACTAGTTCTCTCTTCATTATAAATTTTAACCAGCTTCCATGATACCTTTATTATCTATATATACACTATTGGTTTTTATTATACACTGATTTAGTCTGAGTTGCACATTTCACCTTATGTTTTAAATATAATTAAAATCTATGTTAAGTAGCAGATAATATTTAGAGTGTTTCATCATTATATATCCCAATAGTAAAATTTAACTTTTATCTACAATGCCATGATTCTAATTCTGTAATGAATTTTTATAGTCACAGTAACACTGCTGCCATTTCAATACAATGAAAATTATAACCAGAATCAAGAACATCTTAGCTTTTGTATGACAGTTAAGCAGTTTTTATTAAACTGGTGTCTACTTGAAAATCTTTCCTTTATAAAATAGATATAGTTATTTATTTATTCTTTTTTTAGAGAAAAATAGTCAACACTTTTACTTTTGGAACTTAACTTTGATTTGATGAGTGAAGATGGCTTGACCTGTGGATTACATTCAGGATTGGGAAGCCTGATCTTCCTATTGTATAAACTCTGACACGATTATAAACTCTGTTAATAAAGCACACATTGAAAGAAAGGCTATTGAACAATTGATTTAAATAGAAAATTCAACTTTATAATATTTTTCTTTTGCCAGAGATATTACTGGCTGTGAATAGAGACATTAAAATAAATGGCCAAAGTGTGCTGGTAGACATTAACACAGTGGACACTGAGTACATCGGGAATGGAGCTGAAGGAAAATTCTAGAATGCCCACTCTCCCTTCCATTTTATCCTCCTCCTAAAAGCCAAACTGGAAACCCCATTCCACCAAGCATGATAGTGGAATCATTGCTTTTCCTTGGATCTGGGAGTTGCCAACTTGTGGTGTTTTAGGAAAGTGATTTATGACCTCTGGGGGTCACTCTCCACTTGGTGACTTTTCCCATGTGCTTGACTCACTGCTAACTTAAGGATTTATATTTTCTATATTAGTAATATTTAAAAATATTTTTGTTACATATGTTACTAAAGTATGCATTCTAGTATTATAAATTTCTCTCCTGGAAATAGAGCCTCCATAAAAGAAAGAGTCACTGAATTGCTGTGTTTTGTAAAATTTCCTCATTATATTTGCTTTCTTGAATTGCATAGTTGGCATTTGATATCAAGCCTTTTGCTGAGAAATGAAGTTTACTTTAAAAATGATGAGGGCTTTTTTTTTCTTTTGCCATGATCAAGACCAAAAAAGTACTATGTCTTTAGGGATGGCTCTGAACTTTCTATAGCCTAGCTATTTTTTCTTATCGACTCCTATTTCTCCTATGTCATTTTCTTCTGCTGCAGTGCTTTTGATCTTAGAAATTATGTCAACAGACAAAAAGGTATGTGAATGGACAAAAAACAAAATCAAATTAAGAATGCTAAGGATAGTCTTTCAGAGGTTTGCAGGTAGAAAACTACAAAAAAATCATGAAAACAAATTGGACACTGTAAATGAGCAAAGTAATCAGCCTTATCTCTGTGTTACTTGAACCTGCCAGAAATTTCATTTGTTGTTTGAATTGTGCCATTACCACATGTATTTTTGCTGTATAACCAGTTCACCAATGTTAACCAACACTGAAGTAGAAATGTGACATACCTTTACACTGTTTTGGAGGTATTAGGAGGATAATATATAAAATCACCAAACACAGTGCTGTCTGTTAAATATATTATGTATGTACTGTAAGAGATATGAAGAGATATAAGGTGTAGTTGATCCCCCTTGGAGCTACAACAGACTGTGTTGGGTTGCTCCCAGCCCTGAGTTGGGTGATCTGCTAGGAAGATTCATAAGACTCAGCACACAGTCGTATTTGTGGCTAAGATTTATTCCAGTGAAAGGATTCAAGTCAAACCAGCAGAGGGAAAAGGCACATGGCGTTGAAGTCCAGAGGAAACCAGACCCAGGCTTCCAAGTGTCCTCTCCCAGTAGAGTCACTCAGGGTGTGCTTAATTCTTCCAGCAATGAGTTTT